TATGTTAAAAAATATTGGGTTTTTTATTGGTTTACCAATATGATAGCATCTTCGAAGTATGCGTTCCTGCCACCCTTTGTCCTTGGGCGTAACGAGTTTTAGTGTATCTAAATCCCTTCATCAATGCACATTGATAGTTATATAAATAAAACATGTCCAACAAAATTAATAGTTTACATATTTATATCAAAAGTATTTACCTAACATAGGTTGTTAATGAATATACACATTCTGCTGAATGTGGAGGATTCATTGCATTTGTTAAGCTCCATCAGCATATCTCTCCAAGTGTCTATGACATGTTATAATAAATTTATTTATTTAGCATATCAATGAACAAGATGTACATGTTCATTTATCGCATTTTTAAACTTGTTATAATACATTTTCAAACCTACGACATTAAACATTAATACGTACAGTTTTGTATAATTCGAGTCCTCCCATCACATTCAGTGCATCTTCAACATCTACGTAACTTCTATACCCAATGTCAGACCATATTTTTGCCCTACAATCGTATGACATTACAAGTTTAATTTCTTATTGTTTATTTTATTTGTAACCATACATTAGAGCATTCAATACAAGCATACCACATTAACAAAAAAAATAATGGAATCACGAATTCTTCTCGTGTATCATAAACATAACTCATAATATTTTTTCCTACAAAGGATGATACTTACGTGTAACTTTCAGCCTCATGAATTTGTTGTAACTTGTTGAGGTCAGTTGGACTCAAATATTTGCAAGCGTGCCACAACTATTTAATTTCCCTTTCAGACTGTCCTTTGATGATGGGGGATTTTTCCTCAGTTTCATCAATGTTGACAATAGCTTATTCTTCTTTATCACATATTTTGCTATCTTCATTCTTCTTTGTAAATTTCTTGATGTCACATTTGAATTTTTTCCCCATTTTCTTCTCACTGTATACAAAATCGTCTTCTTTTTTCCTTTCTTTTGCTTTGATCATCTTCACCATGGATGTTTACCCCTTTGTTGGTGTATATTGCTGAGTTGGAATAGTTGTTAGAATGGAAGTTGTTGGTATTTTTGAGTAATGGCATGTATGGATTGTTTGTTTATTTGTTCAACTAATGCTTCATTTTCAGCTTCAAATTGTTGAATTTTTTTCTTTGATGCTTGAATTTCAGCTTGGAAAATTTTCCTCTCTTTATTCACTTTGTCGAGAATGTCTTCCATAGTCATTTTTAGTATTTCATTCTCCATTGAAAGCTCCTTGATCTTTTGTTTGTACTCAACATCTTTCTTCTTTAGGTCTCCAACAATTTTGAGTTCTTCATCTCTATCTTCGATGATGTCTTGTTTATCAAACTTTGGTTGCTTGTCATTTTTTGAAGCATTTGTATCATATTTCCTCTCACCATGCATCTATTTTGACTCATAAACAACAACTTCAAGAAAAGATTGAAATGATTGTCCTTCATTTTCTATCCAATATGAAATCAATTATCATCAAGTAGTGTGTCGTACTCCTCCCAATGAGTGTTTTCACCACCATCATGTACCTGTTTCATGTGTTTCTTCTTCCTTTGCCAAACTTTTTGAATCACCCTTTGCATGTGGACCGCCATCGGATTCAATTTCTTTGTCTCTCTATTTACCTTTATTTTTTAGCAATTTTTTGTCCTCCTTTGTTTTTTTCAACTTATGACATATCACCTATAAACAACATGTAAACAAATTCACAAGATAAATGATAATGTGTCATTTGTGTGACACTGTGACATGTGTGTAACATTGCAATGGTGTCACTTGTCACACCATGTGCAAATAAGAGTAAATAATAATGAGGAGAAATGACACAACAAAATGTCACTCTTACATCTTTTGACTCAAGCGTCTTCAGCTTCTTTTGTCTCATTACTTTTGGAAGAGTTTGTAAATTCATTTCAGCAATCTTGGAAATATATTTGGCATCTCAGGTATTATCAATGTTGTCCGTTCACAAATCAAAAACCGTATTTTTTTCTAGATTGTTAATATACATATATAAACCATAAAATAATAACTAGTGTAATTAATCAGATTCAAATGGTTTACATACAAACTACTTACCGGTAACGCAACCAATGATTGTTGTAGGTATATCCACCTTTTTCTTCAATGATGAGATAAGTGCACCGTGAATTGCACGACACCAATCATATTTTCTAATTTCGCATAAATTCTCAACGTACGGAACATATCCCCTACCCAAGTGTTTTTCTTGTGTTTGTGAAAAAAATGAATACCAAAAAGAGTAGACAAAACTGTCTTGCAACATCATCAAAATACGTTTGAGTTGTACCTACCACTGAATGTCTCAGTTTGCTCTTTATCAACGTTGAATTCAATCTATTATCTTGTCTAAACCAACATTTGATAAATGATGTTAACTTTTTACCCTGACTGGTTGCATTAATCTGCTCATTTCCATCTTCTATTGCAAATATAAGTTTCACATCACTCCTACCCAATCTCAGTTCTTCCCCACCAATTTGAAATTTTCATGTTTTTTCATTGAAACACAATATCATTTCCAAGACATTGTTGTCGGTTTTACTACATCATGCATTGTCTACATTTTTATATGTTATTTTTTCAAACAATAACCAGAAATGTGTCTTCTACAATGCAAACTTATGCTCGTCACTTAAGACAACATCATCTATTGCCCTAACTATGGTCTGCATGTTTGACTAGTATTGAGGTTTGAGTTTTTCTTCTTTCCTTGGTCTATTCATCTCTTTGCCTATTCTGGTTTAAGAAATTCATGTAGCATTTGAATAACTTTAAAAGTGATAAAATAGAGTTACTTGGTAATGAGAATCGTCAAAATTTTTACACAAAATAATGACTCCACAATATGACTTAATCAATTATGGTGTTGTCTGCAAACCATGTTCTTTTCATAGTGTAAGGTCTTAATGAACGAACACATTCACCCAACATTCATAAGAACGATGCATTTGATAGAATGAGCAACCTTAACTCCCAATTAACATTTGTTTTTAGTAGACTATGAATGCAAAATCATCCAACTAACCACATTTATTCTCTTTAAACAATTACACATATGTATTAACAACATCCCACAAGTATAATATGAACTACTGTTGTTCATTATATTAACGAAATTTGTGACCATGACATTCTGAATGTCATATTTAAAAAAAATAAATAAAGGGATTCACTACGATACACATGACAACATTTTCATATTCCAAGCAATATTACTAGGTTAATAACAGCAGTAGGACGCATTCATCACATTTTGGATGAAATTCTAATAATAAAGAAAATACAGAATTGTTAACGATCTAATTGCAATAAAAACGTATTAATCGATTAAGAAATGCATATTTACAACGATCAAAATTTGGGCATTTGAAAAAATCACACAGTAATTACATCGAAATTTACATTTAAGCATTCAAATATGACAAGTAATATTTCTAATTGCTTAGGTTTAACAAAATTTTGGGGAAGAATCTACTACAAAAAAAGGCCCAAATTTTTACCTGATTGAAGATTATGGAATAATGAACCCTTGACTTCAAAAAAGGTATATGTTAATGTTAATTAAATTTATATTTAATGTTAGGTCATTAAGTCCTTATTTTGAGGGTATAATTTATAATTAGTTCAATCTTTGTTAATGACAAAATGGATGACAGTTAGCCTCATGTGCATATTGATACGAATTTATTTCTTTCAGGATATAACTTAATTTTTTAAATTTTAAGGGTATAAATTGAGATTTAAGTGATCTTTTAGAATACAACTTGTTATTAAAACCCTTTGTTTTATTGTATTAAAGATTTTTTAATATAATGGAAGAATTATATTATCACAAGATTTGGATATAACGTTGATTGTGTATATCTCTGTCATTTTGAATTTTAAATTTTTTTGTCATTATCGTTGTCAATAAACATCTATCTTCTTCTTCTCTAAACTATCAACCATTAACGTTTGGAATAACTCAATCCTATCATTCTTATTATTCTTCAACAAACACGAAAAAACTCAAACATATCGTATTTCTTCTTCTACAACATTCATATATTATCAAGTTGAACTTATGTTTTCTTTCATTTTTTTTTATTTTGTTCGTTCCACAGACCGGCAGTTTGTTTCAATTTTTTTTTTCTTCACATTTTTTGTTTTCGTTTTCGTTTTCGTTTCTACTTATTATGTTGAGTGATCACTTTTTTAATTAACTTTTCATCTTTCATATGATTATTTTTTTAATTTAATATTTTTTTATTTTATGAATTTTTTTTACAATTTTATTTTTGAATTCTAAATAATACAACAACGGTTGTTGTTCTAAATTGTGTTTTCTTCTTCTTCTGTAAGTTGCTTTCGTTATAGTTTCTTCTAAATTGTGTTTTCTTCTTCTTCTGTAAGTTGCTTTCGTGATAGTTTCTTCGAGACTAACAAATGCAATGTATTTGTTTAATTCATAATTCAATGGTGTACATCAAATTACTTTACAATATGAATTCATACGAAGTTAAAATTTAAAAGTGTATCAATAAAGTACGACACTAAAAGGTTTATGAAATGTCTAATTTTTGTACATCCACGATCATAATATCAAATACATATGATTTATCCCAATAAAAAATTAACTGCGATCACCAATAGAAAAAAGTGTTCAAGAATTATATGATTATAGTATATTTACAAAAATTTAAAATGTATCAATATAGTGTAACAAAATAATATATGAGTAATAGAAATTAAGGTTTTAAAATTACACAAATTTAAAGTGTATCAATATAGTATAGGAGTAATAGAAACAATACTTCATAGTGTGAATTCGTAGTGTTATATAAACTCCTAGATATTACGTGCGTACAAATTTTAAGAGTTTGAGTGTATTATTTTAAATTTCAAGAAATTTAAGTGGTTAAGCGATAAATTTAAGAGAAGTGAGTTTACTTTTTCAAAATTTATTTTGGTCTGATCTGATCTTGAGAATAATTCCTACCCTGGAACTACCCTTTGAAATTTCTCCGTCATGCGTTCACGGCTGAATCATCAGAGCTCAGACACAATTCCGCCAAGATCGCCCACAAACTTCGACTCCACAATCTCTCTTTCTCTCTCTACCCTATATCCCCTCCGTTCATAGTCCGTTACCATAGCGGTTACAGTTAATTCACTGTTAAGAAACGTCAAAGCCGACGATGAACTCCTCGAAAACCCGACGGAAGGTGGCGCCCGCCACCGAGAACGGCGATTCCGCCGACAAGTTAGACCAGCTCCTTCTCTCTTCCGCCATCTGCAACGGCGAGGACTTAGGCCCATTCGTCCGCAAGGCCTTTGCCGCCGGTCATCCGGAGACTCTCCTCAACCACCTCCGCCACTTCTCCAGATCCAAAGAGTCCGAAATCGAGGAGGTATGTAAAGCTCACTACCAGGACTTCATCATGGCCGTCGACGACCTCCGCTCCCTCCTCTCCGATGTCGAGTCCCTCAAATCGTCTCTCTCCAATTCAAACACTCAACTCCAAGCCGTCGCTGTTCCTCTCCTGACCTCCCTGGATTCCTTCGTCGAGGCTCGAAACAAATGCCAAAACATTACTCTCGCGATCGATTCACTTCGCACTTGTATCCAACTGATGGAACTCTGCTCTCGAGCTAATTTCCATCTCTCTCAGAATAACTTTTACATGGCTTTGAAGTGCGTTGACTCTATTGAGATAGGGTTTGAGAGCAAAACGCCTTCGTCTACGCTTCGGAGAATGCTGGACAAACAGATTCCGGCTATTCGATCTCACATCGAACGGAGAATTAACAAGGAATTTGGGGATTGGCTTGTGGAGATCCGAATAGTGAGTAGGAATTTGGGGCAACTGGCGATCGGACAAGCCTCGGCTGCGAGGCAGAGAGAAGAAGAGCTGCGAATCAAGCAAAGACAAGCCGAAGAACAGAGCCGACTCAGTCTCAGAGACTGTATTTATGCTTTGGAAGAAGAAGAAGATGACGCACTTAACGGGATCGGAGATTACGGTAAGGATGGGTATGTTAACGGTGGGAGTGGAACGTTGGGGTTTGATTTGACGCCGTTATATAGGGCTTATCATATACACCAGACGTTGGGGCTTGAAGATCGGTTCAAACAGTACTACTTCGAGAATCGGAAGCTTCAATTGACTTCGGACTTCCAGGTATCCTCGATGACTCCTTTTCTTGAATCTCATCAGACATTTTTCGCTCAAATTGCCGGTTTTTTCATTGTTGAAGATCGAGTTTTGAGAACTGGTGGTAGTCTGATTTCGAAAATGGAAGTGGAAAATTTGTGGGATACTGCTATGAGTAAAATGTGTTCTGTGTTAGAAGATCAGTTTTCTAGAATGCAAACCGCAAATCATTTGTTGTTGATAAAGGACTATGTGAGTTTGCTTGGAGTGACATTGCGTCAATATGGGTACCCTGTCGATGCTTTGCTTGATGTATTGAGTAAGCACAGAGATAAATATCATGAGCTATTGTTGTCCGATTGTCGAAAACAAATTTCTGAGGCTCTTGCTGCTGATAAGTTTGAGCAGATGTATATGAAGAAGGAGTATGAATATTCGATGAATGTGCTCTCGTTTCAGATACAAACTTCAAATATTATACCGGCATTTCCCTACATTGCTCCGTTTTCTTCTACTGTGCCGGATTGTTGTCGTATTGTTAGGTCATTTATCGAGGATTCAGTGAGTTTCATGTCATATGGTGGCCAGCTTGATTTCTATGATGTTGTGAAGAAGTACTTGGACAGGCTTTTGACTGAGGTCTTGGGTGGGACTCTGTTGAAGCTTATTAATTCATCAATTCATGGTGTCACTCAGGCGATGCAAATGGCAGCAAATATGGCCGTGTTTGAGCGTGCTTGTGATTTCTTCTTTCGTCATGCTGCACAGCTTTCTGGAATTTCATTAAGAATTGCTGAGAGGGGTAGGAGGCAGTTTCCACTTACCACAGCCCGGGATGTGGCTGAAGAGATGCTCGCTGGTTTGCTTAAACAAAAGGTTGATGGGTTTATGATGTTGCTTGAGAACGTTAACTGGATGGCTGATGAGGCTCCACAGGGTGGGAATGAGTATGTAATGAGGTGATTATTTTTCTGGAAACTTTGGTTTCAACTGCTCAGCAAATATTACCAGTTCAAGTTCTTAAAAGAGTTTTGCAGGATGTTCTTTCTCACATATCGGAGTTGATTGTTGGGGCTTTAAATGGGGAATCAGTTAAAAGGTTTACTGTGAATGCTATCATGGGTGTTGACATAGATATTCGGTTGTTGGAATCCTTTGCGGAGAATCAAGCTTCTCTTTTATCTGATGCAGATGCAAATGACTTGAAAACAGCACTTGCTGAGGCAAGGCAACTAATTAATTTGCTTTTAAGCAATCATCCAGAGAATTTTCTGAATCCAGTAATCAGGGAAAGAAGTTTTAATGCTCTGGACTACAGGAAAGTAGTGATCATTTCAGAGAAGTTGAGGGATCCTTCAGATCGGCTCTTTGGCACCTTTGGATCCAGGGGATCCAAGCAAAATCCTAAAAAGAAATCTCTGGATTCATTGATAAAAAGACTCAGGGATGTGAATTGATTTCATTCCAAACTCTATATACATGCCTAATCACAGGTACCATTCGCTTGACCTCTGTTAATTATGTGATTGTAATTGGCAAGATCTCTAATGGTTAGCTGCAAATTTTATGTTGTCTGATTGTATCATGAGAGTGCAAATTTCCTTTTGTGTGTATGGTTTTCATTATAATGTTTTGCTGGTATTGTATTCAATTCTTTGCCATGTCAATGGATTTTCTGTTATTTCTATATGACATGTTGCGTATTCAATGGAAAAATTGCATTGCTATTCTTTTAATCAAAAGCTTGCGTGTCTTGAGATGGGCAAGATCATACCTTGCAGGTAACATTCAGTTGCAGTAGTTAACCTAATCCACTCGTGTGTTTTGGATAGTCCCTCTCGAGAAACAGACTTGAACTTTGAGGATCACTGTTTGTCGTTCTAGTTAATTTTCTTTCTTCATCGCATCTATTTTTTCATCCTGAAACTTTTGGCTTCTATATTTTTCTAAACTAAACAGTACAATAGGGGTACTTATCAAAATGATTTGAACAGCCAAGAAAGGCATGGTTATATGCTGATGAGTATATTAAGAAGATCCGAGGACTAATACCGATGCATAGTTCAAGTAATGATAAATTTGTGCACAATTCCTACGGCGGCGGCAGGAGTAGAGATTTTTGAACCCGACACATCCATTTCACGATCCTTTTCGAGCCGTTGTTCTGGGATTGGATTGCAAAGAGAGCAAGAATGCTTTGAAGCTCAACAACGTCAAAGCCCGTTGAAAGCCAGCTCAAAAGCTTTCTTGCCAAGTCACGATCTATCTTTTCTAAGGACTTCCGGAAGCAGAAAGTTCAAACAAACAAAAAATCTGTCGACTGCAAAAAATAGGCGAGGGTTAATGCCACTCGTTTAGCAGATGAATGTTGAGTGGGGCTTGCTGTAGCCTGTATCATGGTTTTATGGTTGCATTGGCATAATGGAATTATTTTTTAGTGGAATTTATAATGTGCACAAGAGGGAATGATGATGTCTTGATGTAATGGTTTAATAGAACACCATTGTCAAAAATAAGAAAATTACTTAATATAGGTGGGCGGGGTGCATGCGAGTGTGACAAATTTGATCAATACACATGGCCTAATAATTAAATAAATATAATATCAAATACTTACTTATAAATCTAACTTTTTGGATATTCCTATAGTATAGTTTGTAATGGAGATAATACTACATATTTATAGAATGAATATTAGTTTTTATTGTTTTATTTTCTTTTAAGTTTTGATGAATTACTTTCTTATAAACCTCTACCTTTAAAGTTTATAACTTTTCACTTGAAGTTAATTATTTAGAAAAATTATATTTGTAACATCATAGTAATTGTACAAATATATTTTATAGTATGTGGGTATATATAATTAAAAAATATCGTAAACACTTATTAAATTATGAAAAATATGAAGGGAACTATTTTAAGTTATAGTAGTCATTTAATTATTAACAATTGATTGTGAAAATTTTTAAAAAAAAGTTAAGTTGTAATAAGTAATTTAATGTAATACTGAATATATTTATAGCAATGTTAATCAATACAAATAAAATAGTTTCTAGTATTGCCAATAAACATAATTAAAGAGGATTTATTAAAACTAAAATATAAAAGAGAAGAAAATGAAAAGTCAAGGTTTGATAATCTTATCCAAATTATATTAAAATAAATCTTATATTAAATAAGACTCTAATGTATTTATGCAATTTTATTTGAAAATTCAGAAACTTGTCATCAATTAATGAAAATAGATAAACATAAAAAAAAAGTAAATTTAATTATTTTTACTATTAATTTCTATCTTTTAAAAGAAATAATATGAAAGGCTTGGATATGTGTAATATTAATAAAGTTTTATTAATATGAATTCTATATTAATACTGTTAGAGTAAAGTTGTCAAATTAAAAGTTTAACACCAATCAAGTCTTATTAATATGAGTTCTAAATTAAATAAGGTTAGTAATGTTTTTATATATTGTTTTAGGGTTAAAGTAGTCGATCAAAGTTTTTTTTGATGATATACTTTTATTTATTAGTTGTATAAATATAAATATATAGATATCCCTATCTATTGTAAGGTAGAGATGGGCATGATTCCACCGGACAGAACGTGGGGGTCTAATAGTGTTATTTAATTTTTTAATGGTTAGGGATATTGGGGTCGGGCCTACGTGTACCACGATTAATGTCATATTTGGTCTGGTTAAAAATAAGTCATCCATACCGAAATTAAAATATTCATGAGAAATAAATTATTCATGTCATGGTCTGACCTTCTAAAAATTTGTTAAAATTCAAACGTTGGAGATCTGAATTTAAAACTTATTTATATTACAACTTAAACAACTATTAAAATTTTTAATTCTATTTAGACCTATTCCACGTATCATCTGAATTTGTGCATTTTTTTAAATTTGATCTTTAAGGTGTGATCTGGTAATCTCACAGTTCAGAAGTTTGGACATTACACATTGCGGAGCTAACAAGCATCGCAGAACCAATTTGATTATCAATTTCATCCTTTAACACAAAAAAAAAGAGGAAAAATATATGAAATTTCCAAACCCATGAAACAACAATATTATTAACTAAACTAACAAAATAATGGCTTCGATTTTTTTTACAATGTCAAAAGTAATGGCTTCAAATTGTCACCCGATAATGCGTAAATTAAATTTGAATCAGCGAGATAATGGTTGTAAGAAAGAGAAAATTTTGAAAATTTTCATGTGTTTGATTATAATAAAATGGAAAATGATGAAAAAAATAATTTTATTTTATACTTAAATTTTCTCACAACTATTTATTTATTTATTTATTTTTGCAAAAAATACAAGAAAAAGCAAGAAAATTATGGTCTATAATGTAAACTCTCATTTTACCCTTACTTTCCATAGAATATTCAATTGGTTATTAATTTTGAAAAAACTTGGTATTAGTTAAATTAATCATAAAACTTGACCTAAAAATTCGGGTTCAAACTTATCTTTGTCCCATAATTAAGTTAGGAATCACATTTTTTATTAAAAGAAAATTTTAATTATAATTCATATTTTTTTCCTCTTTAGATGAATTTAATATAATTAAGGATAATTTAGACAATTAAAAAATTTCTTATAATTTTCTTTTCTTTCAAACAATACAATAATTTTTTTTGTAAGTTTTTTATACTAACTATATATATGCATAAATATTATCACTTGGTATCATTAATTAATAACATACAAATAAATAAGAAAGTGAACTTCATACAAGCTAATAACTATCGGGCAATATAAGCAAATTAGGTGTAACCCGTTTCTAAAAACACGGTGCAATGTGAATGATTTTAAGTGATGAATATTGGTAGTCATTGAATGAGTTTATATGATACCGTTAGAGACCGTCAATGTGCTTATTGTAACCTATTTTATTTTATATTATAAAAAAATAACTATCCACTCTTTTCACATATAAGCGAATAACTACTCATTTAAAATTTTATTATTAATTGTTGATATGATGTCATTAATCAAGGCAGTATTGCATATTTTCTCTTCAATCAGACGCTGTCGTTTTGAGATTTGGATTTTCTGTCCAGTGGCTACTCTCTCGTACCAATCCAAACGACCGGCTTTCCCACAGATTTGTAGCACCATTTGCTGGCAACCAAAGAGTAAATTACACTTTACCTCCTTAAATTATTATCTTTATTTTATTTTATACTCTTAACTATAAAATTTCTCATATTATAATTTAAAATATCAATTTTATTTCATATAACTCAAATTAATAACAACAAACTTAAAAATCTGTCAAAGAAAGAAGAGAAACGCTAAAGAACTTCCCTCCATGTGCTTGATACCACTTTATTTTACTTTTTTTGTAATTAAATGATTGCTAAAAAGAAAAAAAATAAGGTCAATTAGAGAAAGAAAATTTAGATCTTATAATGGACAAAATAATGGATGAATATTTTTCTTGATTTTTGCTCTGTACATACGCAATAGGCAATAGCTTATTGGCAGTACAGACCATTCGCATTCACATTCATTATTTATTGGAGTGATATGAAATAAAATTTATACTTTAAGATATAATATAAAAAATGTTATAGTTGAAAGTACAAAGTAAAATAAAAATAATAATTCAGAGGGATAAAGTGTAATTTACCCAACATTTTGCTGGCAACCAAACTAACAAATCCCGTATTACGTACGTAATTACATCCGCTGTTTCATCTTTTATCACGACACTCGTCCTCGAAATCTTCTATTAATTACAAAATTCTTATGCTAAAACCCAAATCAACTCTCACGAAAAAGATAACAGATCATTCACACCGGAACCTAGAACAATGTCTCCAATTACCACTCTCATACTCTCTCTCCTCTTCCTCTCCGTCACAATCGTCGCGGCAGATGATGGCGACACCACCCTCACACCCTACGAAGCCCTTCAATCCTACAATTTTCCCGTGGGTATACTCCCAAAAGGCGCTAAAGGCTACGATCTCGACAAATCCACCGGCAAGTTCAATGCTTATTTGAACGGTTCTTGCAGTTTTTCTCTGGAAGGCTCGTACCAACTCAAATACAAATCAACAATTAGTGGCCATATATCCAAAGACAAGCTCACAAATTTGGATGGTATCAGCGTGAAGGTTTTTTTTCTGTGGCTTAACATTGTGGAGGTTGTGAGGAGTGGTGATGACCTTGAGTTCTCGGTGGGCATTGCTTCTGCGAACTTCCCCCTTGATAATTTCGAGGTTTGTCCGCAGTGTGGGTGTGGATTGGATTGCAATGGTAATGGCTCTGGGCAAGTAAGGAAGATTAGAAAAAACCCTTTCGTCTCTTCCGTTTAGGATAAGATTGAATTTTTAAAGGTGATATTTGATTTGGCTGATGGGTTGGTTTTTCAATTTGGGGTAACTGTTGTTGGTCTTGGCTATTTTATTGGAAAGATTTTTTTTTTCCAGAATTGTTGTGCTTATAATTGCCTGACTTATATATAGTTTTAATTCAAAGTATTTATACCACCCAGATGGTGTTCAACATCTTCAACTTAGTGTGAGACTAGATTCACACTCAAAGGTGGTATTTGGATTTGAATGATGAGGTTGTTTTCAATTCCGGGTTCATTAGTGTTTGTCTTGTCTATTTTATTTGCAGTGATCATTTATATGTTCTTTTATAGATTGAGCTCGATAATGTTTCGTATTTTTTTTATTATGTTAGAATGAATAAGTATACATTCTCTTTGACAAGTATGCATATTCGGAATAATTATTAATGGCTCACCCAATTTTAGGTGTTGTCTGCAACTGTTATGTTTCTGGTTCAATCTTTGATGGAATGGTCAATTCCTTGACACAGCAAGAATTCAAATATAATTTTTGCAGTTGTTAGATTATTGACTTATGGGGAAAGAACTTGATGCCGGTTTTGTAAATACTTTGCATCTTGGTGAAATATATCTGGTAGCATTCTTTATATTTATAAAATAAAGCAGTTATGAGGGTCATTTTCTCTGATAGAAATGGGTTGTTGTTAGAATGAATGTCATAGCCATAGCCTCTTTATCTAGCTGATCTCCTGTCTGTGATGTTGAATGCCATGAGGGTGTTTAGCATTGATCATAGTCTAAGTCATCATGGTTGAAGTTTGTTTATGGTGAATGTATATGGTAGCATGCTTGTTAGAGCTATTTCATAACTCATATAGCGTTTGGAGTGAAATTTAAGCTGCATCAATTTGATGGAGAAACAGCAAAAAATATCGTTTCGTAGCTTTTGGAATTTGCATTTTGCCTTTTGATAGAGCCTAAGGGTAAAGCTGTACACCCAACCAACTCCCTGTTGGTGACAAAAACTGTGAGATTAATGCAGTTGCTGAAACTCAAACTGGAAGGACTCTGATAAGCTGAAGGATGAAAGATCCGAAGGACTCAGTGAAATACAGCTTCATATTCATAGTCCTTCGTTCAATGTGAACTCTTTTAGTTCTGGGGTCATAAGTTCTTGTTATAAGTATGTAATGTTCAAGGGACAAAAGCTCTGCCCCATATAAAGAGCAGCACTTTGTATACTGCTGATATACATGAGCACATAAACATATTGGGTTGGCACAACTGCAGGCAAACTCTGTTTTTACAGGATTTTGTCATAGTTGCAATTTAAGGGTGCAATGTCGGTAGTCAAAGGAGTTATGACATGCAAAGAGCATTACCGTCTTAGTTTCATTTTCTTTCAACTTTATATAACTTGCCGTTCCCTGTTCTTTGATCTACTTTGAGATCATTCAGTTACAGAGTAAAAATCTTTCTGTTCTACTACTATGTGACTGCTGCTGGTTTCGTTCTAGACTGGAAATATTCTTACACAAAGGTCATAGAAACTCTCTCTCAGACACACACACACAAAGTTAGCAGGCTAGGAGAACTAGTGGCCAGTATCTTCACTTCTTCAAACCTCATAAAGGAACAGTTAACATCGGTTCTGGTGGTTGTGATGGGAGTTTGTTTGGGATAGCTTGATCATAGCAAGAGAATTTGCTATGTGGGAATGTTCTGGTGTGCTTTCTGCATCATGATTTGATATATACTTTATATAGTCTCGTTAACTCATGCAATGTTTTGTTGTATCAAAAATGTTATATACTTGCATTGCCTAAAATGTTTTTTTGTCTTCATGACTGATCCCAATTTTGATGCCATAATCCAAAATGTAAGTCTATGCCAATGGCAAACATTGCTTACACCCTTTATGATAGGATTCCATTTGTCTACCAATCCTTCTTTGCAGCATCAGCGATCAACCCCCTACTCTTCTCTATGGCTGGGATCGATAGGGATGCACACCATGTTTGACACCAAGAAGTATGTTCTTCCATGCATTCGTAGGTGCTCTCTATGCAATTAAGATTAATTCTCTTTGTTTTGTGTGTGTAATAGGCTGTGGAATTCATGTATAACTGATCTATTCCTTTTTTTTTCTTCTTTGGTCAAGTGATCCATTCCTTATGAAGCCAATTACATTTCTTCAACATGCATCAGGAAGCAATCTCCACCTACAAATTCTTGTTTTTTTTTTTATGGGTGACCACTTATACACTCATTTTGCTTATTCATGATTTAGCACTTAAAGTTGCTGCATCAGATAACTTATATTTGGGATAGTAGTTGGATTATATGACACAGATTGAACCCACCAGTGAATAAAATACTGCAGATTGAAATTTTAGGTTTGCATGGGTCATTTCGTCAACTGCTTTGTGTTTCTCAAATCACAATCACAATCACAATCATGGATTGCTTTATTTTGTGGGGGAGAAGACTAAGGTACCCAAAAAAAAAAGAAAATTGGCGTCGTATCTTCAATTTTTATAACTTTTATTGGTGTTTTTACAATAAAATTTTTTATAATTTTTGTGAATATTTTTATGACTTTTGCAAGTGTCAAAAATTATAGTCGGCAGTACGTACCCAATTTTTTTTCCCCAATACCATACACTTCTTCATTTTGTGGTATTAAAACTGCCAGGTCGTTTGACTGGTTGAATCTATCATCACCAATTCTCTATACGATAATGTTCGATAAAGTTGGCATCTCTTTAACCTAATTTGTTTGGGTATTTTCGAGAGGTGGTGGGAGAAGCACAATGGGAGGTGAGTCAAGTAGTCTACGTCATTTGTTAGGTAGCAAGAAAAAGGGCAACAACTTTATTTTTCCTTGATTTTAAATTTGTCCATGATTACCCACTAAGCTGAGGGCGACTTAAACCAATTTAAGGCTTAAAACGAAAATATTAAATAAAGGTTTTTTTATTTTTAATATTATTTTTTTACAAAAAAAAATTATTTTTAATTTTTTATGTGAGAGGGAGACAAAAGAAAGATGTGTTAATGTTGTTGAGAAAGAGATTTTTATTTTTTTTATCACAGAGAGGGAGAGAATGTTTAATTTCAATTTTTGTTTTTTTTTACCGGAGAGAGAGAGAGAGTAAATATGAGTAGACTTTTGTGTATTTTTTTATTTTTAAAATTTTTAATGTTATAAATTGAATTATAGACCGAAATTATTGTAATAAAAAATTTGATTGAATTTAATTTTTTGAGACTTTTTTTGTGGGGCTTAAAATTTAATAGATTTAATTTTTTTATGGGCAAGTGATGTTCCTAAAATTACAAAACCTTCTAAAAATTTGAAACCTAAAATCCATACTTTTTTTTTCATACTGTTGAACTGGCCTCTGCTAAACATAGATATCAATTAAAAATAATGTTATTGAAATTTAAAATTTTGATTTGATCTAATGATATAGTTTCATTTTAACACTTGAATTAACACTAAAGTTTAATATTTGATAAGTCCTATCGTTAATCCAATGACTATAGTGATTTAGGTCAACAAATTAAATCAATAAAAGAAATCTCACTAACATTTCTCATCAATTAAACAGGATCTATTAATAATAGCTAGAAGTCATAGGAGAATCAAAACGACGACGTTTTAATCCAGTGGCAAATGAATATTTATCATGGTAATTTTATTTAAAAAAGACAATAAATTGTTTTTGGTTTAAATTTTTTGGTGGTCTTGAATCTACTAAATTAATTCTTGATTTTTTTTTGTGACTCGTATCCCCAAGTTGACAGGAGACACGGTCCGTTTTGGGAGTGTTTTGTAATTTAGTTGAAAATTAAGGAGACACGCCTCCGGCCCATGTTCAAAACCTTTTTCTTGCCTTGATTGTTTTTGGAACTTTTCATCCCACGTGATTTTTATGTAATAGAAAATTCCGCAAATTGAATAAATATTCATGTATCTTTGTTACTATTTAAATTATTCCGAGTTTAAGTCTGTAATTTTTTTAAAAAAATGTTATTTGAACTTAGAAATGTATATTTGGTCAAAACAGGTAAGTAACTTTTGTGCTCAACAGATTAAAGTTTAGGATGTTCAATGATTTATCTCTATTCCGATCTATTTTCTTTTCACCTTCATTCCTCCGTTAGTTTTTAAAAGAACAAACACCATATCAATTTGAAAAAAAACAACAGTCTAAATGATCAAATCGATCGTTGCAATTGATGATAGCAGAACTTTCCAAGATTTGAAAAAGTAGGAATAGACTACGAATATTGTTATTCCCGACTCATGACGAGCACAAGTAACGCGGAAAATGGGCATTAAAGCTAGCTGTCCCTTAACAGAGGACAAAGGAGCCTACAACAATATGATCTGTTGAATACCGAAGAATAAATCGTCGTCTTTGACATTTTCTTTGATTGTTTTAGTGTTGTCGAATTTTGTGCTTTAAGAGCATCGCACGAAGCTCAACAGCGTCAATCTCCTTAGCTTTATTCTCCGGCCTGTAGTAACCGGTGATTGGGTCTGGGACCCACGAGGAAGTCTTGGTAGACTCTTCCCCTCCTTTCTTCAACATCACGTTGCTTCTAGCCCCTCCTCTCACAGCACTACTGGACACACCACCTTGCGATGCCGCCGCGTATCCACGTCTGCAAATATATTATTATAATAAGCAATTGTCAATATTTAGATTTCGAATCCTCATTTTTATAACCTAGAAAATTCTCAAGAAACTTCGCCGGAAAAAAAAAGATGTCTCTCCTGTGGACAAAAAGGGGATGAACGGCAAAAAGACTAACAAAACTCACTAGAAACAATAGAATATGAAGACTGAAAGATTTTTTTCGGAGAAAAAACTAAAACGAAGATCTGGAATCAAATAACCAGTTCTTGATAGAAATAGTTAACAAAAGATACCGCAAATCGTCTGTTTTTCTTTTGCTCTTTTGATTAACTTTTAACCTCTACCTCCTATCAACTGCGAGTTAAGCTACCTACAGTTTCTTGCTTTTAAAGAAGAAATTTAGAAACTTTGAAAAATATGCAGTACCTGCCTACGACGACGGAGATTCTATCAACGACGATAGCAGAGATGAGCTTAGCGTTTGAGAAAGATCGAGCCATTTGGAATCAACTCTGGAAGAGGATTGATTAGCTGCTACGGCGAAAGTTTTATCTTCTTCGAGATTAATCGCTATTGCTTCAAGAAACTTTCGCAGCAGCAAACGAAAACTTCAGGTGCTCTCTCGCTCTCTCTCTCTGTGTGTTCTCGAAGGCTTCTTTTGGAATGGGAATTGCGAGAGACAATGGCGATATATATAAGGGAGTGAAGGTGAGGTCGGCGACGCGTGACGTAAGGAACCACTAGGGTTTCAATGGGGACGCGTCAAAGTAGGCTTCTAATCATACGACAAGGTCCTCTCATTCGTTGACAACTGTCGACCAGCATCAGAGCCCTTCTTTGGTATCCACCGTTCCTAAATATTTATGGTTTAAAATTTTTACATATTAATTAAAAAAATTATTAAATAAATCTAATATAAGTAAAAAATAATTACACAAAATTAAAATATTTTTATTTAATACGTATTGGGAAGAAAAGGATTATGAAAAATATTTAACCTCCACTTAATCTATTAAGTCCTTATTGAAAAATATAGATAAAAGTAAATTTAGAAGAAAAAATATTAATTATGTTTTAATTTTATAAAATGATAAATATTATAAAATAAAAAAAATTATGTAACATAATAAATATTTAGAAACGAGGAGAGTATTTGAAAAATTCATCATCTTCGTACCCCTACAGCTGTACTACTTTTCAAGGAGAAATTTCAGCCACAGTCCTGATATATCTTCAGAGATATTTGCTGAATCTTTTCTGATATTTCTATCCGATTAAATGTATTAATTAAAATATAATTTTATTAAATTTTCTATGTGAAATTTGCTAGTCGCTTTAAAGTTCGGGTATAAAAATATCCTGAAGACCCCGCATATGCAAGTGAATGACTTACTCAACTTTTCTAGAATCTCCTTTGTTTTTGGTCTTCTTATCCAACGTTGATCCGAAGTTTATTATGATCGTACGGTTGATATGCATTGTAATTGAGTAAACGACTTCTCTTCACCCCAATCAACACACGTGAAAAGAAGTTTCGGTAAGGAAAGAGATACGTGAGTGCCCAACTTGTCTTTGAAAAGGTGAAGAGTTTGTAGCCCTTGGATGACGCTGCCATATGACATCCTAACCGTCCTTGGTGTAAAAGGCCAATGGCAGTGTGAAGGCGGCTGAGTTCTGGCCTTTTCTTTCTGGAGAAGATTCGGATAAAAAAAAAATGGACTTAATTTATACATCCAGTTCAACAAATTAAGTTAAATTATTTGATCTCAATAGCATAATTAAAAAAAAAATGATACCATGTACAAGTTTTTAGGTTTTTTTTTTTATAAATTTTGAAAATTATTTATAGTTTTGGGATACTTAGAATTAATTATAAAATTATCACGGTGGCCGACCGTTGAATTTAATAGATTAATCGGCAAAACATTAGACACCTTATAGCCAAAAAATAAATAAATTATGATGATCAAACTTGACTTTTTAAAAAATTACAACTTAAACCTTAAAATTTATAATATGATCTAAAAATTATAAATAATTTTTGTTTAATATGTTATAACTTTTTTTTTGAAGGAGGGTTCGTAGTCTTCTCCTTCTAGATTGTCGAAGTTGGATGGACTACTACTCAAAGCTTCGAGACGGCTGTGTCCAGCAGAAGTCCAGCTCGATCAACGGTCAAAATAGCGGATTTCGTGAATGGAGATAACTATGGAACTTTCCCTTCACTTTTTTTTTGTTTGCGGGACTTTCGGCTTAATTGAGATCTTCCAATTTAGTCTATTAATAAATTTTTGCTCAGAAAAATTCTATTTTTTTAAGTTTAACGGTAAGAAATGTCGGCCACATTTCTCTTTCAACTCACCAATCCTCTCTCCCCTGACTCAGCAATCCCCCTGTCTGAGTCACACATCTTTCTTTGTAAAACAAAACATTATTCAGAGCTAACTTTCATTCACGAAGACACAGATGTTGAGCATCACTTCCTGTTGGAATAAAATTAATGGTTTGCATAAAATATATAAATTAGGCAAAAAACAATTTTGGAAAATTAATCCAATTAATTAATAGTTGATGGAAGTGCAGTAGATCTACACAAACGCATACAAATTATACAAATAAGGCCAAACGCTCTATTTGTGAGAGAATTGGACATAGATCCTAAGTCCTAGTGTAAACGGATATTCAATTAATTTGTATTTTTTTTAGATGACAGCCCTCAAAAGCGTAATAGAAAGAAATAAGCGACGTCTTGTATGTTGTATCTCTTAACTGCTTACAAGCACTTGCTTGAGAAGGTAAGCCAAGGAGAACTGTATATGAGTTTGGATAACACTAACATGTCTAAAACCCGATTTTTACAAAAAAAAATTAGATAATCCTTCATTTCTAATGAAATTAGAGCTTGGATTGTGAAGTAGCGGTTACAACGCGTCTGAAATTATGGTTAAGGGGTATGTATCTGAATAGGACAGGCCCATTAGACTTTTCTTTTGGGAACTTAGTGGGCTTGAATATCATCCAATGAAATTGGATCGTGGAGATAGATACCTGATAGGCCCATTAGACTTTGCTTTTGATAAGTTAGTGGACTGGACCATTATTCAATGAAATTGTACCGTGGACTTTTGTCGTTCAGGCTAGCCCAACCCAATAATGATGTCTACAGTACATGTTCTGCCTAATTAATCAGAGGGAAAAGCTTTCGTTTCTGTGGATCGGCTGCTGGGACTCGCAGTTGCGAGCTCCTTCGATTGTGTGAGTTAAGTTTTCACTCTCTTACAGAGACAAGCGATGGCAGAGATCACTACGACCCCTGGCGGTGACATTCCTCCAAATATGACTATTTACATCAACAACCTCAACGAGAAAGTCAAGCTCGAAGGTATTGTCCGCTCTCTCTCTCTCTCTCTCGCCGATGTCTCTGCTGAAACTTTTAGCCTAGAACACGTACTTATATATATTTTGTATGGGACTGAAATTGGACTGAAAATTGTAGAGTTGAAGAAATCGCTGAATGCGGTGTTCTCTCAATTTGGAAAGATATTGGAGGTTTTAGCATTCAAAACCCTCAAACACAAAGGTCAAGCTTGGGTTGTTTTCGAGGACGCTTCTTCCGCCACCAAGGCGCTTCGCCAGATGCAGGGCTTCCCTTTCTATGACAAGCCCATGGTACTGAATTTTTCTTTATTTTTCTGTTGATTTTGTTCTTTATTTATGGTGCTTTTCTCTTTATTTATTTATTGTTTTAAGGTGTCTCTTTCAGAACAGTTTCTAAGAACAAATATTCTTTGAATCTCTAATTGTATGTAGGCTTGATAGCTCGAGCCGGTGAGCTTAAGAGAGCCTAAAAAATTGTTTAAGTTTGGTTCGTTTAGAAAATGAGTCGAACTCTAGTAGCTCGGTTTGATTATCAACCTTAATTGTATGTTACTTCCAAGAAATCCTAAAACTTGGTAAAAACATCAGACATGACACTCAGAAATTCAAATAATAAGGATATATGGGGATAATCTGTAAATTATGGGATGTGATGACCACTTTGCAGACAAGTACTTGAGTTTAAATTGTTTAACGATTCACCAATCAATTTTATGGAAACTAGAATATGATAGTAGTTCCGATTGATAAAAAAAAAAATACATGTTTTTCTTACTTAATTTGTTGAGAATTTTCTTTTTCTTTTGATTGAAAAATATCAAGGCAGTTTAGTTCAGGAATTTATTTTGAAGGAAGTTTGGTTGTCATTTGATAAAATTGAAGATAATTTCCTAGAGGTGATATTATGATCTTATTAGGCCATGTGGATCACACTTTGCTTTGTACCCAAAATATGGTTCCACCGGCTATGCTTTTCTGTCATAAAAATGGTCATCATCTCTTCTATACTAATCTTGTTCACATATCTAAAAAGCTTTAAAGTCTTTTGTCTCATCCCCAAGGTAGCATGGATGTGTGGGCGATCCTTGACTTGTTTATCCAGCTAGCTTTTCTTATGTGTTTCCTAGGGACTGACCTACTCCCCTTGGTATAGGACTGAAGAAAGACAATATAATTTGTTGATTTGGTCTCCAACTTATACTGTAATTTTAGTATAGGGAAGCTGGAAGCATATACTAGATAGCCACTTTTTAACTATTTGTAGGCACGTGGAAAGCTATTATTTGCTTATCAACTACAGAGACACAAAATATTAGTTATTTACTGAAGGCTGTTTTCATTTGTTACCAAACCTACAACCATTGTATACTTTACCCCGATCAAGTTTGTGTGTGGTCTCATTATGTTCATAGTGTGGTTTGTAGATTGTTATGGAGAATTGGTAGTCCTTAACTTGTGAAAGTTTTGTCTTCTTAAGGTCAAGGGTTCATACTCCCTTCCCCCTCCCCTTCCCCCAAAAAAAAAAATTTTTTAAAAAAAGTAGATTGTTATGGAGAATTGGAAAGGTCCTTGTTATACGCGATTGATGTAAGTCAGATCCATGCCTTTTATTCTCTCTATGTTGCTGATTTTCAGTTCCCATTACTATTTGTATTGTGTGATTGCCTTTTGTTTCACGGATAACTTTCTTGACTACCACTAGCATGGAAACGTTTATTGCTATAGTGATTGATTAGTCATGTAAATCCACAGAGGATACAATATGCAAAGACAAAATCAGATGTCGTTGCGAAAGCGGATGGTACTTTTGTACCAAGAGAAAGAAGAAAGAGGCATGAGGAGAGAGGTAAGCCATTTGGTTATCTGCACCATTCCAATGTGATTGCCGAAATAGACCACATCTTATGTACCATCATTCACACTAGTAATAAGATATGAAAGAAATCGTTGTGGCCATTTTGCAATAATCACATATTAGCATTTTCTGATTACTGTCATGGTACTCTTTTTGCTTGGCAGTTTCTTCTTTTCTTCCCTATCTTATTTTGGTTCGGTTATTTGCTGTATCTGATTGGTGAACGCTAAACATCGAGTTGATCAGTGATTCTAGTTATATCACTGATCAAACCAATGAGACAACAAATATATTATGCAACATTATATACTCAAAAACAATTTGATACAAAAAAGTACATGTTGGTTGGTACCTTGTGCGAACATTGGCAAAAGTTCTCGCAGTGCTAAAAAGATATCAAGGAGTGTTGGAATCGAGTTGAATTAAGCATGACTGCTCAGTGCTCACATAAATAAAGCAGTAATGTAACTCTTTAATTTTGGAAACTTCAGATATGATGTTAAAAAGTCGCCATACTGAAGAAATTTGAAAAGTTTCCAGTGTTAAAAGCAAAACGATTTAAGTTGTGGCGAGTGTCTTTTATATTGATGTCTTAACACTTATCTTTCCTAAGGTTTCCTAGAGGCCTTCATAAATGAGTTGGTCACAACACTAGATTGAAGTTGTGTTTTATTTACAGCTCCAGTTATCACAATGGGTTTTCAGATCTGTGCATATAGTTGTCTAATTTAGACATACTAGTCATAACCCAGGCACGAAAAAATATAAAATTCGAGCGTTCAAAAAATAGATCCCACTATATTAATTTTTTTCAAAATATATTAATTGCAAATTAATTAAATAACAAATGATTAAATATATGATAGAAATGAGTGGTGTAATATTTTTAGATAGCAAATATATAAATGATTAAATATGTGATAGAAATGAGTGATGTGATTTGATGTTTGAGTCTGACAAAAGGATGATGGGTGAGGTAAATGATTGGTGATAGTTTTGAGGAGAAAAATATGATTGGGATAAAATTAAAGCACACTCCTGTTTTATTATATGGATTGTAGTTCAGTTTCCCCCCCTCCAAAAAAAAAAAAAAAACACGTGGGCGCCTTCTTCCCTTTTTTCCCTCCCTTTTCACCCACATTTGTGTATCTGTTATGCTGCAGGGAGGAAGCGAAAAGAGCAACTAGATCCTAACCAAGCTGCAATGGGTCTGAATCCCGCCTATGCTGGTGCCTATGGTGCAACACCACCTGTAAGCATATTTTTCTGGACTCCTCCTTTCAGAATACTGATGGAATCTTGAACATAAAAAAAACTTAGATGTCATATAATTTTTCCTCATAATTTGATGATTCCTATCATAACTGATTATCAGATCTAATGGACATCAAAATATGCAGGTTTTTAAGAGTTTGTTTGTTGAGTTGTAGCTGATTAAAAATAACTCGTTGGAATGCACATAACTGGTGAATGCCATGATGTGGAAATGCAGGAAGGCAAAAACACAAACTCACACTGCTACCTCACAAATTATTTCTGTTCAAGATTTCTTGTTTTCAGTTATAAATCATTAATTACAGAATGATGCACGAACAAAAAGGTTTTAAAATGTTTTGGGCCATAACACAGTACTTGTTGATTAAGCCTATTGGCTTAGCAAGTGAAAGAAGAAGGGGAATAGCTAACTGTATTGACCAATCTAAGTTATAAGTTAGTGCAAAGCATGATGCAGTGACTGCTCAGTTTTTTTTTCTCTTATGTCATCTCATATTCCCATCATATCGGGAGTTTTGTTGGTTTCTTAATACAATAGTCATGTCATGAGCTAATGGCCTGATAGATTAGTCACTCTGTCATTCTGACTCCATATCTTCATAATTTGTGCAGTTATCACAGATAACGTACATTGGTGGTGCTAAATCTGCCCTCCCAGAGGCTCCTGCTCCACCAAATAGCATATTGTTCATCCAGAATCTTCCTCATCAGACAACTCCAATGATGCTGCAAATGCTCTTCTGTCAGTATTCCGGCTTTAAGGAAGTTAGGATGGTGGAAGCGAAACCTGGAATTGCCTTTATAGAGTATGAAAATGAGATGCAATCGACTGTTGCAATGCAGGGACTCCAGGGATTCAAGATAACCGCCGAGAACCCAATGCTGATTACCTATGCAAAGAAGTAGATGAATGGACTTTTTTTTCAGGCTATTTTTATAAGTGGGAGGACAGGAGTATGTAGAATTTTGACGTTAAGCATGTTATTAATCGTATTTGCTCATTTGTCTTTAGTCGAGGGATAGGACCTGTATAACTGTAGTATGTTACCTTGTTACACTGGGCTTGTAGTTTGATTACCATTTTCTGCAAAATTTCTGTGAACACTAAATTAGCTCAGGTGACAGATGCTTCATGATTTCTCTTTGCTTATGTCTTGTTGCCATTATCTCACTCGTCCTTTCGCTCACTCGTCTCCCCATTTTCATTTTGCTTTCTTCCCTGGATGAGGGTGTAATCCAGATGGTCATATACCAACAGGCAATTCAGTATTGATACTATTTTCTTCTCACTTCATTCCACCATCCAATTGGCAAGCTCACTCGGATTAAAACAATGCTTAATAACAGAAATTTCTATTGATTAGACAAGCTAATACAATTCTATAATTTGAAAAATAAAGTATAAGAACATTAATTGATGTCATAAAGTGCTGGCCCAACAAGGCATCTGCCATTTATGAAATGATATTTTGAGTTGCTACAAAGTTAGTTCCAGACCAAATTACACCCTCTCTAACTCAGTATTGTGTTTTTCTAACTGGTCTTTCAACTCCTTCCTCCACCCTTGGATCAGTCTCTCTTGCTTCTTGATAAGTTCAGTCTTTGTCTTCAACTCATCTTCCATCATAGAGATCTCCTATCACAAAATGCCAAGAAACCCAATGAAAGTAAGTTCATCAATGTCCAATAAGAATATTCAATGTCCAATAAGAATATTAGAACATCATCAATGTCCAATAAGAATATTAGAACAGCTATGTTGAACATCAAAAACCATTCACGTTATGATCTGTAGACTACCTTCCGCAGGCTTTCAGCATAGGTCGGCTGATCCTCACGTTGCAGACCAATAAAATATAGTTGAAGTTTTTTGGCAGCATCCATAAAATCTCTAGCATGTCTCTCCACATCAACTGAAGCAATCAAAAGAGAATCGACTCTATTGGCACCAAGCAAAACACATGTATATAACACTGCTAAGCACATGTGTCGAGAAGTGAAACAGAATTTTACTCAATAAGACCAATTACAGAGCAACAAGCAACCACCCAACAATCAAACAAAAAGCTATACATCTAGGTCAATAACACCACCAATAGATAAAAATGTTTGCAAATACACACACACACACAGATGAAGAAAACAATACATGCAGGTTTTCAGTAATATGTTTCACTACTATTGCAGCCAGAACAGGGCTGAACAACACAAGCAGCACTGGACATTGTTTTTTACTTAAAGCATGGCTACTTTTACAACCATTACTCATACGGGGCACACATCAACACTGCGTAAAATGTTTCTATCAAGCCCCTTGAATACCTCACCACACTTCCCAGGCGAACTTGAATAATAAACAAAGTCATCACTGCAAGATTTCTATGGTAGTAATGATGGCATACATCTAGAGACTAGGGAAATGTTATGAAGTCATTCTATGCTGGACTTTCAGAGAACAAACTTGCTGGTCTTTGATGTTCTGCATTTGCAGAAAACTACATACATCCTGTTGGGGTTGTTAGAGTTATAGTTGAAGTTGTCAAAAGTTCATTCAGTTAATAAATCCTATTATTTAGGATATGTAGGTAGAGTCTGACCATTTCTTTAGTCATTTTACCATGTTATTAGGATCAGTAGAACGTGGGTTGTTTGTTTTTCAATCTTATCTCTTTGTAAGGCTTATATAAAGCCAACAGCTTGTTTTGAATAATATAACATTCATTCAGATATTTTTTCTGAATTGCTTTGTGCTTAGAGTTTACAACAATCTGGTATCAGAGCTCCCTCACGGGGCCTGATTGTGAGAGAAAAGAAACCGCAGTTTCTTAAAAAGAGAAAGAGTGAGAAGAGAGAGAATCGAAGTATGGCAGCTGAAAATAATTTCGTTCAACCTGCAATTCCTAAGTTTGATGGCCATTACGATCATTGGTCTATGCTTATGGAAAATTTCCTTCGTTCAAAGGAATATTGGAGTTTGGTGGAGATTGGAATCCCTACTGTAGCAGAAGGAGTGGAGCTTACTGAAGCACAACAAAAATCAAATGCAGACCAGAAGCTGAAAGACTTGAAGGTCAAGAATTATCTGTTCCAAGCCATTGATCGAACCATTATGGAGACGATCCTCAACAAAGACACTGCCAAGCACATCTGGGACTCTATGAAGCAGAAGTACCAGGGTTCCACAAGAGTCAAAAGAGCACAGCTCCAAGCTCTTCGGAAGGAGTTTGAGGTTCTACAGATGAAAGAGGTTGAGAGTGTTGATGCGTACTTCGCTCGAACACTCATCATAGCAAACAAGATGAAGATTCATGGTGAAAACATGCAGCAAGTCGTGATCATTGAAAAGATCTTGAGATCAATGACCTCAAGGTTCGACTATGTTGTGTGTTCGGTTGAAGAGTCTAATAACTTAGACACCTTAACCATTGATGAGTTGCAGAGCAGTTTACTAGTACATGAGCAGAGGATGAACGGGCATGGAGGAGATGAGCAGGCATTAAAGGTGACCTACGATGATAGAATTGGTGGAAGAGGACGCGGTCGAGCTCGTGGAGCTTTTCGAGGAAGAGGCAGGGGAAGAGGGAGACAAGCATTCAACAAAGCTATAGTTGAGTGTTATAAGTGTCATCAATTAGGGCACTTTCAATATGAGTGTCCTAAATGGGAGAAGGAAGCGAATTATGCTGAGCTTGAGGAGAAAGAAGAAATGTTGCTGATGTCATATGTGGAGCTTAATCAATCAAGGAGAGAAGATGTCTGGTTCCTTGACTCAGGGTGTAGCAATCATATGTGTGCAAATAAGGAACGGTTCTCAGATCTTGATGAGGAATTCCGACAATCTGTGAAGCTTGGGAATAATTCCATGATGGCTGTGTTGGGAAAGGGTAACATTAGGTTGCAAATTGTTGGAGTTACTTAGGTAATCACTGATGTTTTCTATATACCTGAGTTGAAAAGTAACTTATTAAGTGTTGGACAATTGCAAGAAAGAGGTGTAGCTATTTTGATACAACATGGAGAATGTAGAGTCTATCATCCCAAGAAAGGGCTTATTATGCAAACAACAATGTCTGCAAACAGGATGTTCATATTGCTTGCAGAAATTCTGCCGAAAGCTCCTACTTGCTTCCAAACAATTCTTGAAGAAAATACTCACCTTTGGCACTGCAGATATGGGCATCTAAGTTTCAAGGGTCTGAGAACATTGCAATATAAGCAAA